TGCTCTGAAGGAGATGCAGTTCCACAGCCACAAGGTACATGCAGAATGGGAATGCTTCTAGACACTACACCTGTGCTACAGAGGACACTTCTTATATACAGTATTTAGCCCAGTCAGAACAGCACAGTTTACACAATCTACATCTATAACTATCAAAATTGTCTTCAGTAACAGCATGCTTCATCAAAGCGGCATGCTTCCTAACTCAGCCACTCGCCACTGCAAGTTCACAGTATAATGGAGGGGGGTAAAAATCACATTACTACCCCCACCCTGCATGAGACAGTTACAGTACAACCACTGAATTGATGCAACTCTCAGACTATATCAGGTGAGTTAGTTCCATTGTAGTTTTAATATTCCCCCTCAACTGCAATCATCTGACCCACTAACTCGGGTGCAGGGTGCAGGGTGCAGGGTGCAGGGTGCAGGGTGCAGGGTGCAGGGTGCAGGGTGCAGGGTGCAGGGTGCAGGGTGCAGGGTGCAGGGTGCTCACCCTCTGGCAGTGCCTCATGATTGCAGTGACCTCGTCTTCATTCAGCAGCTTCCTGGCCATGTCTTCTACTAGGGCCAGCGCCTCGGAGTGGGGCAGGGGGGTCTGCTCACGCAGGGCGGCCACAGACTCCTTTGGGGAGCTGAACAGGCTAAAGAGCCGCCCGCGCTCCTTATCTGGGAGACAAACAAAGAGGCATGAGGGGCTGCCTTACAAGAAGCAGGGCAAGGAGAGTCATGAGAAAGCCTGGCTTCCATCCCCTGGAAGCTGTGCTCATGCTACAGGCAAAACATTATTTTTTTTCTAAATCTTATGGCTGACCAGTCACAGTTCTGCTTCCAGGTGTTGTTGGCAGCGATACAGTAGAAATGAAAATCTGAACAGGTTTAAGGAAAGACACAGGATGGGTCAAAACAGATTTGAAAGATGTAGCTCAAATTGTAAACCAGGCTTAAGAGAACACCATACAGTGGGTATAGAAAGTCACCACCCCCTTTCAAACCTTTTGTTGTATGCCACTGAAAATAAAAACCAATTTAATTAGGCTTGTTCCATTTCTATTTACACACAGTAACCCACATTAGACAAGTGAAAATAAAATTTGAAATCATTCTGAAAATTAATTAATATTACAACAGTTAAATACTTTATTTGGAAAAGTGAACACCCTCCTTACAATTGCATTTGTAAACTTACTCAGGTCAATCACCTTACAGATCACGCAACAAACTAATTGGCTCCCACCTGTGATCAATTGTGGTGATTTTGATTAGTTCAGAATAAAAGCAGCTGTTTCTAGAGGATTCCACTCTGCATTTCAAAGCAAAGAATCTACTATGGGTGGAAAGGTGCTTTTGAAAGAACTGAGATAAAGCACAAGTCAGGAGATAGGTATAAAAAGATTTCAAAGGCTTTAAGTATTCCATGGAGTACAGTCAAGACCACCATTAAGAAGTGGAAGGCGTATGGCACCACCCAGACCTTGCCTAGATTAGGCCGTCCCTCCAAACCTGATGACCGAGCAAGAAGGAGACTGATCGGAGAAGCTCCCAAGAAACTGATGGCAACTTTGACCAAGCTACAGGTCTTTATGGTAAAGACTGGTCATTGTGTGTATGTGACAACAATATCACAAGCGCTGCACAAGTCTGGCCTGTATGGGAGGGTGGCAAGAAAAGAGCCACATCAAGTCTCATTTATGTTTTGCTAAAAAGCAATTTAAAGATTCTGTGGCCAAATGGCAAAAGGTGCTGTGGTCAGATGAGACCAAAATCAAACGTTTTGGTCAGAATGCTAAACGGTTCATCTGGCAAAAACCCAATACATCTTGCCATCCAAAGAACACCATTCTAACAGTGAAGCACAGTGGTGGCAGCATCCTGTTGCGGGAGTGTTTCTCTTCAGCTGGGACTGGGGCACTTGTCAGCATAGAAGGGAAGATGGCTGGTGTAAAATACAGGCAAATTCTTGAAGCAAACCTGCAGCCCTCAGCCAGGAAGTTGAAAATAGGAAGATGGTTCACACTTTTCAACATGGCAATGACTCAAAGCGCACCACCAAAGCAACCATACAGTGGCTGAAGGACAGGAAGGTGAATGTTCTTGAGTGGCCTTTTTGTCTTCTTTTTGAGCTTTAGGGCAACAAAAGGTGAACATTTTGAAAGGGGGTGGTGACTTTCTATACCGACCGTATGTATGCCACAGCAGCTGCTGAACTGAGGACCACCGTCCACAGGCCCACAGACAGGGGCCCCTGCACTAGAGACCACCATCTGCAGGCCCCCAGAAGGGAGCCCCTGCACTGGGGACCACAGGTCCACACAATGGAGCTCCCACACTGAGGGGCCACCAGCTTCAAGCCCACAGACAGGAGCCCCCATACTGAGGACTACCAGCCACAAGCAGGAGTCCCTGCACTGGAGACCCCCGTACTGAGGACTATTAGCCGCAAGCCCACAGACAGGAG